AAAAAAAAAAGAAAAGTTAACTCTGATTACATAAAAAACTACATTCATATAACATCTTTGCATCAATCAACCATGATGCCTTCTATTCCCAACGCACCTCAAATGGGGCGTTCTATATAACCTTGTAAAAGTCATAAAAGGAAACGAAATATCATTATGCTCATAATATTATCCAAGAGTGTAACAAATCACCTACTAAAAACATTATATCATTATACTTATAAATAAATAGTATGAAAGTTATTACTTACATTTTGCGGGCACTCATGTTGGTTGAAATTCACAAAACTTGAAGATTTATAAAAATATAACGAAACAACACAGTTACTGTTAACTAATATTAGATTGATTGCAAAAGTGTCTAGTTTATGAAAAAAAATAGCATCTACCCTCACTTGTGAAAATGTAGCCTTGTCACATAAAAATATAAGCGCACCTTAAATGGGGCGGTGGGAAGATATGGGTAAAAGTTTTAAAGTCGAACGGGATATTCGGAGGATGAAAGGTAGACTGCCTCGTTTGCCGAGTGGTCGCAATTGCGACTACCGGGAAAGAGGTCTCGGGTTCGATTCCCGGGTCGAACAAACTAATACTGGGTTTTTAAAAAAATCTCAGTAGTAGCACGGAGTCATGAATTGTGCCCGGTATATGGCAATAGGGTCACCCCCTATAATATGGGACTTTTAACACAAATAGTGAAAAGTGGGTGTTACATTGTACAGTGGCAAATTGCCGTAATGTACCTACACCTCTACCTATCGTTTCGGGAATGTCGCGGAGAACCTAACGGGTAACCGGGGCTCCGGCTCGACGAGCAGGAGAAAGAACGGGGTGATTTTTAGTCAGTAAGAGTCTGACACTCCCTCCCGCCTCACCTAGGCGGGAGCAGTCATACGATGATATGCACCCCTTAAAAAAATCCCTTCGTGAATAAAAGGCGGTATGTTATGTTATACTTACAGCAGCGATACCATTGAGTGTGGTGATGTTGTCCTGAAGAGTTCCATTGGAGGAGGACTCGTCAAAGTACCAGCTCCTCTGTGTCCGGTACGCCACCGTACCGTTGTTGTCATGCCATGTCACGTTTACATGTTTTCTCTTCTCCAGAAACCGGTAGGGACCTGAAAGTATTTTATAGGTGACTTAGAGACGGTTCAGATATCAAAATGTCATTAAAATGCGTTCGTAATAGGGTTCTTTCATTTTTATATTTTATTTAAATTATCAAGACTTAAAATTTTTAGATGGCAAACAAATTGTATTCTGGTCTTATCAAAGGTTCTCAAATAGCGGCCTAAAAATGCGGCGAAATCGTTTCGTAAAGGATGGTACGACAGTGTTTGCTTCGCCCTCGAATTGGCGGAAGCATTGCCGTGCCCCAGATTTATAATTTAAAATAAATGCTTCATTATGAATAGATTGTACTTAAACAAGTGTATAATTAGCATATCACATGTAGCTAAAACATCGGTAGTATTTTCAATCGTATAATAAAATATTCAACGAAAAAAAAATCTAATGAAATTATTAAATAAAATTAATAAATAAAAGTTGATAATAAATTAAATATTTTTATTTATTTAATATCGAAAATCAAAGATAAAAATCTTAATATGAGAAGCATAGGTATTTTGTAACAATAAATATTAATTTCAGTTTCAAACTTATCGCCTACCGGTCGAAATTATAATACAATTTATGAAATAATTTATTTCGCGAGACGCATAAATAAATAAATTCATATAAATTGTTGTATTAGAGTTATCATCGATTGTTATTTTATGCAGCTCATATTGGCGAATAAATAAATATAGACTTAAATTATATACAAATATATAACGAGCAGGCACGAAGCCATATTTAACATATAATAAACATATAGAAAGATAATAAAATATTTTATAAAAACAATATTATGGATATCTTTATGTCTGGATTCCCAATTCGATTCAGGTTTCTTACAAATTAAATTCAGAAGGCGAGACAAATGTTAGGTTCATTCTATTTAATAATAAATAAAGGAATTATTCCCATTAACGAATAATTTTGTATATGTATGATATTATTATTTTATTAATCGTTTGTAAAGCGTATAAAATAATGCTTATTCGACATATGCAAAATTCAGCGGAATTCAGTCGCATCATATGTAAAAGTCGGTCGAAATTCAGTCGAAAAATTTTGTCATAAAACGTAAAACATTTTATTTGTAAATTAAATCAGTTAAATAAATCATGGTTGATGGTAAGAAAGAGTAGTAGTATTTGCGATAATTGACGCACGTATTGCTACATGTATTTATAAGCCCCATTCGTTGCTCGAATCTAGTCGAGCGCACTCGAAAACTTAACAGTATATTATTTTTTTTAACAATGTCAGTTCAACTTACCTAGCTGCACTAAATTCGGTTTCTCTTCTGGAAACTTCTCAGAATTGGTCCAGTTGAAGAAGTAAATATCGAAGTACAGTGGTACTGACGGTGCCACCCAAGTCCTGAACGACCTGGAGTTTGGAGTCAGCGCCAGTTGCTGGAACAAGGAGAAGAAGAAGATTAGAAAATGCTGAAAGATTTTAGACACTTTTTAATGTCTCATGCGTCTAAAAGGAAAAGAAAATAAAAAGGTTATCAAACCAAGGGGGACAATTGGGATGATGACAGGGTATGAAAATTAAAAATCGAATTAGTCCGTAAGTTAGATAATGAAAAAAAATTAAACACGCTCTTTTATTTTGTCGTATAATAAAAAATAGATAAAACGAATCAAAGTTTAAGAGTGGGGGCTAAAACGTCAAATCAATATATCGTCGAAAGTATGCGTTTCTGTAAGAAAATAAAAATTCGTGTCTAATGATTTGAAATAATCTACCAGGCGGACATTACAATAAAAATTAGGCATCTACCCTGTTGTCCTACGACACATGTCGCCAACGACGTTGGGGGGAAATAAGTCGCGCCTTATCCCTGTATATGTCAGACGAAATCGCTGATACATGTCTTGGGATATTTTCCCCTAGTGTATTCTTTGGCTGCGGTATCTCGCCGCCCGACCAGAACCAGACCCGTAACCCGGCGCTGTAGCTGTAACTGCATGTTACAGTTGCGGCGCGTCGCGTTCCACACGCGCCTCGAAGAGCCATCAGACCACCACGGATGGGGGCCAATAGAGCTGATGCCAATATGGAGCCGCGGAGAACATAAAAGGTTACTGGGGCTCTGGCTCGAAGTGCAGGAGTAGGACTGGAGAAATCATTCGATGATTTTCGCCCCTTAAAAAAGGGTATCCTTGTAATAACGGTTGCCCGTAGTATATTCTAATGTCAATTAGATTTGCAATTTTAACGATTTCTGTCTTAAAACTCCTGATTCTAAACTTTGTTTAGTTACACTAAGTTTACTTTTGTGAGTCTGAGTTCGAAACTCCTGGTATGCAATACTATGTTTTTCTTTGACCCTGTGAGAGAAAGCCCTAAAAAATCAACAAAATATATAGTTATTGTTAGAGGTAAATCATAGTTTACCTTTTAATTGCCTATTTTACAAGTAGTTAAATTTGACTAGTTATAACACTTTTATTGTACAGTTTATTAACTTATTTTTATATAGGTACCGGTTGTACAGTCTATCTACTTATAATTTATAATCAAGTCATTAATTATACATTGGTACACTAGATTTATGGCATAGGCCATTCGCCCAGGACATCACATTATAGTATAATACCTAATATCCTTTAATTAACAATAAATAATTAAAGAAATAAATAAATAGAATCAATTCCTTATTTTTAAATACTACAATTGGGCCAACAAGCTTCGTGCTACTACTGAGATTTTTTTTAAAACCACTGGGTTTTAAAGTATTACTGAATACTTTGCCTGACCCGGGATTCGAACCCGAGACCCCTTACCAGTCGCACTTGTGAACACTCGGCCAATGAGGCACTCAGATTGTTTAATGCTAATTCATTATAATGATTAATTACTACTTATTCCTTCATAGTCTTCATACACCTACATGTAATTTGGTATAGTTTCTTATCTGCCGCCACTTTAGATAAAGATTTTTTCAATGAAGCCAATAAATATTATATATCGATGAATTCATCGATTAATGATGCCATTAGACTATGTATTATTAAATAAAACTTAGTGTAGACTGGGTATAAAAACTATAATCTGAATTTGAGATATAGGACAAACTTTTCCGTATTGCGGATCTATTTTGTATATCGTATATTGTATGTGTTTAAGAGAAGGTACTGTCATGTTACTGTCAAATCAAAAAGTCAATTGATTAGTGGGCGCGTCTTTTTTTTGAAGGGGGAAAATCATTCAATTACTTCTCTCGCCCGGGTGAGGCGAGAGGGAGTGTCAGACTCTTACTGACTAAAAACCACCCCGTTTTTACTCCTGCCCTTCGAGCCGGAGCCCCGATAACCCGTTAAGTCCTCCACGGCTCCGTATCGGCATGCTCTATTGGACCCCATCCGTGGTGGTCTGATGGCTCTGAGGCGTGAGCGCGACACGCTGTACGCTCGGGTCTGGTTCTGGTCAGGCGGCGGTGCGTCCACATCTGGCAAGTGTGCTGCGAGAACACAAGCGTAGCTTGCGGCAAATGGATTGATGCTCAACTCTACAAGGTTCGTAGAAATAATGATTTTAAATGCACGTGCGCAGCTCGCGGTAGGCTCGCGAGCTGAGCATTCGCGGAGCATTCGTCTGTTGTAGACGCACCCTTAGCTAAAAAATAGGGCGCATAAAAATAGGGCGGCAAAAAAAGCAAACGGATGAAGTGATTAGCATCGCAGATCGCTTATGGACAACAATATCAAATCACTAGGTAGTTTATTAATTTAAGAGCAAGACTGAATAAAACTACGTTTATCAATTTTTTTCGGAAACCTACACAGGTTATCAAGTTAATAATCAAGCGAAAAATTGTGAAGAAACAGAATTATCGGAATGATTTCTTGATTGACTAGTTTTTTTACTTAATTTAAATATCCGTAACAATCATTTTAAGGTAATAATACATACTACCTACAACAAAAAACTATTAGAATAAACATAAACGAGTAAATAAATGAATACTGATCGTCTTCATTAATCCTGAATTTATCTCATATTTATTCATTTTTTTTACATTTACATTTCAATTTTAACGACCAATAAATTACATAAAAAATATCTTAGCTAAGTTCTTAAGTGAGGACCTCCTTCTGAGGTAGGTAGGTAGGTATGCTAATCTCTAAAATCTAGCTGAGATCTTTTACAATACATTATGTAGTACATTAAAATAAGGTATAAGGTAACATGTTTAAATTTCCTGTTTAATTGAGATAATTAATCAGTTACAAGATATTCGAAGCGGTAACGGGACCATAGCGCTATCAACATTTTATAATAAAATAATTCATAATTAACACGAGTTAACCCAGCGCTCGATAGATGGCGTTGGGATCGAGTTAGATGGCGCTATGGTTTCGTTACCGAGATTAATTTAGAGTACGGGGAAATGTTTCCTACGGTGTGAGCAGCAAGCATTGAATTGTTATATTATACGCGATTAGTACATCAATACAGTGTAATACTTTGACCACCCTTCAAGTCGACCTTCGTTCCTAAGAAACACTCGTTTGATCTCTTTGTCTTTCATTAAAATTGATTCAGCAGTTTATCAATTACAAACAGTCTAATTCGGCATTCAGTTAATATTAAAGCTGGTTTTCTTTTTCGATCTTTTTGACTGGATTTGGTGTTACATTTTTCTCGCACAATCGAACCAATAAAACTGTGTAACTGGAGAATTGTATTGTGAACCCGATTGAAAAAGAAAAACCTATGGAGTTTCTTGCTCGTTCTTCTCCATAGGAATCTACATCTTGGGATGAGCAAATAGCTTCACTTTTAAATTATTATTGTTGACGTTCAAAAGTGCCTTCCTGGTCTAATTGAAATAAATAATTTTGACTTTAACTTTAACTTTGGTTTAATTAATAAAATAGATACAATGCCAACTCGCCTCGGGTAACGTGGTAATTAATGCTCAAACTTTAACGTGTGAGAGAAGGCCTATGATCAACACCATCACAGTATATAAGTGACCACCATTTATGCCTATAATGATGACGATGACGAATACTAATTGGTAGCATTGGAACCTTTTTGGTAGCATATAGCATAACATAACATCACGGCTTTATTCACGAAGGGGTAGGCAGAGGCGCACATTACGGCACTTAATGCCATTATCCAATGTAACACCCACTTGTCCACTATTTATGTTATGAGTCCCATGTAATAGGGGGTGAGCCTATTGCCATATACCGGGCACATGTCCAGACTCCATGCTACTACTGAGATTTAAAAAAAAACATTAATATTTTACCCAACCCGGGAAGCGAACCCGAGACCCCTTGCCGCCGAGTCTTGGTAGCATTGGAACCTTTTTAGTACATGCCATGTTGCACTAACATGTGGCAATATTGCATAACAACAAACACTAGGAAATATGGTTAAATATTAGTTACCATCTTAATAGACAAAGTCTAGACATAATGACTTTTCAGATATAACTTAGAATTTGATTATAATACTTATCTTGATACTTGTTTATCTTAAAAATCTCTTAATCGTAAATAATGTCTTACCAATGTTAATTTAAACATTTGAACATAAATGGCAATTGTTTTTTTACAAACTTATCGCCTTGTTGTGTACCTGTTGAGAAAGAGGTGTAATCTAGATCTTGATAAATTATTTACATGTTTCAGTTTCACTAAGAAAGAAAATTTAAGTCAAAGTCAAAATCATTTATTTCAATTAGACCAAAAAGACACTTTTGAACGTCAACAAAAAATTAAAGGTGAAGCTATTTGCTCATTCCAAGGTGTAGATTCCTATGGAGAAGAACGAGCAATAAACTCCATAGGTTACTCTTTTTCAATGAGGTTACAATACAATTCTCTAGTTACATAGTTTTGTTATTTGGATTGTGCGAGAACGATGTAACACTAAAATCCAGTCAAATAATTCGAAAAGAAAGAAAATAACCTTAACTCGTCGAGTACCGGTTTTGTAGACACAATTATAGAACAATAGGTTGCGGTCACCGGTGACCGCTTGGTGTTTGACAGTTTAAGGACAATAAAAAATACAGTCAAGTAAGTTTAAGTAAAAACAAATAAATTTTCTAATATTATTAGCAGGTAACATCGACTCAAAACAAGTAGCAGAAAAAAGACTGCCTAGTTGGCCGAGTGGTCCCAAGCGCGACTGCCGAGCAAGGATTCTCGGGTTATGGAACCCGTAAGCAAGTATTACTTGGTTTTAAAAAAATGTCAGTAATAGAACGGAGTCTGGAAATGCGCCCGGTATATGGCAATAGACTCACCCCCTATCACATGGGACTCATAACATAAATAGTGAAAAGTGAGTGTTACATTGTACATTGGCTTTGAGTGCTGTAATATGCACCAGTGCCTACTCCTTCGGGGATAAAAGACGTGATGTTATGTTAAGTAAAAACGTTGCAAAAATAACTTAAAAGTTTTCTCACACCATTTAGATGAAAAGAAATTACCACTAATTTATTCACCACTTACAATATTATCTAAAGAATTGACACACGAATTAATCAAATCGTACCTAATCCTTGTCAAACACAACTTCAATTCAATGACATGTCAAAACCAATTGACCATCAAGTTAATCTGCAACCAGACACCAAAGGCACCTGACGTCAATCCACAATTCCATCCAATTGATTTGTCAAACTCCAAGACTTTGACCTATCAATTGAAGAAAATAATGAAACAAGAAGGAACTAGTTCCTTGACTGTCAATTATTAAAGGATTTTTTTTTTTTTTTTTTTAAGGGGGGAAAATCATCGAATGACTGCCCCCGCCTGGGTGAGGCGGGAGGGAGTGTCAGACTCGTCGAGTACCGGTTTTGTAGACACAATTATAGAACAATAGGTTGCGGTCACCGGTGACCGCTTGGTGTTTGACAGTTTAATGCGGGATGGCAAACTTATAATTAGAAATTATTTAGTTCCATAGTTCTTATGGTACCCACGAGAAGTCACAAATAATTTATTTTACTGTGCCATCTTCTCACGACATACGGCAAATTAGATATACCCATGTTATCATTTATGACTGCCTCGTTGGCCGAATGGTCGCAAGTGCGACTGCCGGGCAAGGGGTCTCGGGTTCGATACGGCAAAGTATTAGTTACTGGGTTTTAAAAAATTTTTCAGTTATAGCACGGAGTCTGGAATTGTGCCCGGTATAGTGTAAAAAGCTCACCCCCTATTACATGGGACTCATAATATAAATAGTGAAAATTGGGTGTTACATTGTACAGTGGCATAATGTACACCTCTGCCTACCTCTTCGGGGATAAAAGGCGTGATGTTATGTTATTCATAAGGATCTGTAAAATAGATGCGAACTGGTGAGTGGACGCGAACTGGCGAATTTTAGTAGGGCGGGTGGACGCGAACAGGCGAAGTTACCCTGTTTTTTATTGTATATAGATTACGTCACCAAATGGCCGAAGATCACGTTTTCAACCCTTCCCGTTGCTAGGCAACCGGTCCGTATCACGTTGGACTTCATACACAGATAGCAGACGGAGGCAATTCTATTGATAGTAGACAAACAGCTGATAATACATTGTGCAAGGAGAATGGAAGCTTAATTAATCTGTAATTGAATATTTACTTTATGTCTATGTAATTTAAGTTACATTTTGGTTACTACTGGCTTTGATATTCCCTGATGGAGTAGGCTGAAGATGACGAGTATAATATTTATGTACTTTTCACTATGACTAGTATTATTATTTAGTATAGATTTTGTTAACGGCTTCGCCCGCGTTCCGAGGCGTAAAAATTACCTACCTTATATGTTACCCCAGACCATAAAAGGTATGATGACAGGGTATGAAAATTAAAAATATAATTAGTCCGTAAGTTCGGTAACGAAAAAATATTAGACACGTGTTTTATTTTGTTGTATACTAAAACAATACTTAGATAAAACGAATCAAAGTATAGGAGTGGGGACTAAAACGTCATTTCTACATTATAAAACGTACATAGAAGTGACGTCACGCGACATTTCAAATCAATATATCGTCGAAAGTATTCGTTTCCGTAAGAAAATAAAAAATATGTGTCTAGTGTTTTAAAATAATCTACCAGACGGACAATAAAATAAAAATTAGACAACTACAATCCCTTCAGTAGTTTTTGCATGAAAAGGTAACAAACATACTACCACAAACATACATACCTACATCGTCAACTACTTTCGATATTGCCCCACTACACATCTGCCTATGACAGTACTCCTACGAACTAATATCCAATAGGACAGTTACATAATACTTAATACTCCGCAGCTATCTATTCACATTTCAAGTTCAGCTTACATAACATCACGACCTTTATTCCACGAAGGCGTAGGTAGAACTCCCACACATACGTTACGTAAATTCCAAACAGATAGGTAAATTAAGGGTTGACGAGGTTTTCAATGAAAACTAAATATATTCGTGTATGTATTTTATAATGAGGGTTGTTATTCGGCAAACAGCTAATATGTGCCAAGATATAATATTTAACATAACATTGTAATAAAATGCGTGGTTATTGCCTTTTATTCTCGAAGGGGTAGGCAGAGAGAGGTGCACATTACGGCACTTAATGCCACTGTACAATGTAACACACTCTTTCCACTATTTACGTTATGAGTCCCATGTAATAGGGAGTGAGCCTATTGCCATATACCGGGTACATTTCCAGAGTCCGTGCTGACTGAGATTTTTAAAAACCCAGTAATACTTTGCCCGACGCGGGAATCGAACCCGAGACCCCGGCAGTCGCACTTGCGACCACTCGACCAACGAGGCAGTCCTATTAGTTTTATTATGTAATCCAATTTAAATATGTCATGTTATTGGAATATGTATCAGAGACATTGCAGAAAAAAAGAGTAATGAATGGAATTCCTTGCTCGTTCTTCTCCATTCGAATCTACATTTTGGAATGAGCACCTAGCTTCACCTAGGTTCACTGACGGACTGGCTGACAGACTATTATTTACTTTGTATTTGTTGACGTTTCAAAAGTACCAAATTATAGTTTAATTGAAATAAATGCTTTGACTTTGACTTTTTTTTTATATTATAGATTACTAGCGACCCGCCCCGGCTTCGCACGGGTGCAATATGCATGTATTATACATACAAACCTTCCTTAAGAATCACTCTATCTATTAAAAAAAACTGCATCAAAATCCGTTGCGTAGTTTTAAAGATCTAAGCATACATACGGACATACAGCGAAAGTGACTTTGTTTTATACTATGTATTGATTTCTCCACGGACTCTAGGTCCGTGCCCTTGTCATACAGTTTTTTAATTATAATACATCTAGTCAATTTTTATAAAGTAAAGAGGGAACCTAGTTACACACTACAATTAACTACATCTATAATTGTTACCAAAAGTATAGGTTACATAATAATTAGGCACTATTTATTTATTTCTATTTCAAAGGCTTTATGAAACCAGCCCACCAACAAGATGGGAGAGCCGACCTGACCCAGCAGAAGGCACCCGTTCACGAGTATGACGTGTGTGTCAGCAATTGGTCCGGTCAACCTTTTTATTGGGAACGGAACAACCCAACACACAGCGCCACCGACTGCAGGACATTTATGTGTGCATGACGCCTCAACCCTTCACTTTGACTTTAGAACTAGGTGTGAAGTTAGGTTAGAGAAAATCATAACCTAAGATAACAAACTACAAAAAAAATAAAAGTCTAACTAAAGACTTACAACAATTGAATTTAAATAATTATAGCCAACGAGTTCGTAGCGACGCGACATTGACACAGTGGGGTCAGTAGACATCTACATACATACATATATACATACAGTTAGTAACTAACTAACTAGTAGAGATTAGTAGACTAAGGTTTCACTAAAGAAACACGCGGTTAATTTAATCTCATTAACTGATATTTGGTTCACACGTTTCTTGCTAATATATGGCAATGTCGCACGTGATGGTCGCCTGAGCAATTGTTATTTACTTTTAATTTGTCTATTGTTGATATTCAGGGTGATTTGATATTAGAGCACAATCTCCTATAAGGGCTCGTACACAAAACTGCAATGCGAACTCACAACCCAGAAAATTACAACAGGAATTGCTGCGATGCGATTTCGAGCGACAAGGCGTCTCCCAGGGTAACCATTCCTTCGACGACCGTCCACCGTACTAAAAGTATTTTAAATAGAAAACTAGGTTGTGACATGGATCGTAAACAGAAATGTGCAATTCTGTTATCGCTTAAGAGATAAAGGAAAAAGAAACAAAGAAGATTTTGAGAAGATAAGATTTTGATGCGCGATGCGAATCAATTCGCAAGTTCTTGCGATGCGTAAAGGGAGCTTGCATATTTTTGCGGTGCGACGTCACATTGCAATTTTGTATACGAGCCTTAAGGCTATAAACAAATAATTTCCAAGATTTTTTTTGAACAAAAGGTTAGGCGGAAATGAACAGTCAACAATGAAAAGAGTGACGATGAAGTTTCTAGCTCGTTCTTCTCCATTCGAAACTACACGTTGGAACGAGCGAGATTCAATTTTTGACGTTTCAAAAGTTCCTAATTAAGGATTTTTTGAAATAAATGCTTTGACTTTATTAAAAGACTTTGTAAGTGTGGGAGAGCCATGCTTCAGCACGAATGGGTCAGCGCGACCGGAGTGATACCACGGCCTCACAGGAAACTGACGTGAAATAAAGCGTGCGTTGTGTTTTACCGTGTGAGTGAGGTTACCGGAGATCCATGAGCAATTTGGGAACTAAGTAATACAAAAACAAGTGATTTTGCAAGAATAAACTTGTGTAACACATACAGAAACTTACATTAGCAAGTGCTGAATCGAATATGCTGGTCCAGGCGAGTGCAGCGGATAGCGCCGCAAGCGCAAGTAACGCACCACTACCCGCCCCCACCCACAGCCAGCGCGGCGTGCGTCCGCGCATCTTTTTAGGCACTGACACGCTGCAACAAAATAAATTACATTTTAAAACATTGTAATTTTTATTAAAACGGTATACGGTAGGCAACTACTTCTAAGAATAGAGTATAGAGTACCTAAACTAGAGAACGGACGATGTTCGAGAATTGATTGTACTTCTGATATTCTAGATAAAAATAAAACTACATTTAATAAAACAGATCTCAAAAACCATTAACTAAAAACCAAAAACATATTATTCGTTATAAGAACTGAAAGTTAAGAAGTGGTCCAGTACCTACTTGCGTGGGCTTAGGTATTATTGTCTAATAATATAACAAAATTATTGTTTATTTCTAAATAGAATCATTTAATAAAAACTTATGTATTTTGGACTGAACTCTTCATAAAACATTTCGATTCTCGAGTTAAATTAACACATTGGATGCTGCGTCGGACAATGATGTACGACACAAGATAGTGGATAGTGATAGACCCATCAAATATTAAAAAAAAATAACCGGCGCTAGTAGAGAAATACCCTTTTATAGTTTTTGTCAGCCGTTAAAGGCTTAAAATAAGTAAAACTGCGAAAATCGATAAGGTCATTACGATACCTAATATTTTTCCACGCTCATTGCATTTTTTTATCGACTTATCACTCATTATGTATTATTGACAACATAACAACATTTTCGCAGGTGTGCAGTATTTCAAAAATTGATAACGACAATTAAAGTTGATATAACATTCACGTAAAGTGCATTTTACTTAAATTTTGTAGCAGTAGATGCAGAATAAAAATAATATACAGTTCAAAGTTTAGTTCGTGACAGTTCCTTAGATGGCTTCTTATTATAAGAACATAATTTATCATCACGCCCAAATTAACTAAAAATCACGGGTTACTCACGTGAAAATAGTGAGAAAAGCTCTACTAATTTCGAGCCACAGAGGGGTTCTTACTCATAACCAGCGTACGCGGTCGCGGCGATGTCGCCAAGCCTACTCCTAGAGGCTAGGCGCTAGACTACATCGTATATCTCACGATAGTTATTATAAAACCACAACATCACGCCTTTTATCCCCGAAGGAGTAGGCAGAGGTGCACATTAAAGCAGTTAACCCGTGGTATGCCGAGGCACATCCACGCGAGACACAATGTATAACCTATTGTGTCTCATATATTGGCAATGTACAATGTAACACCCACTTTTCAATAAGATTATGATGATTTCTATTAATAAATAGCAATAGTATCCTGAGCGCCTTTGCTGAACGTTTTGACTGTCAGTACATGAACCACTGTTGTATGGTTCATGTACTGGCTAATGTGAAATTATTGTTTTGAGTTGGGAGATTATTTTAGTGATGACTGACTTGTGATTGTGATTTTTGATATGTGATTGTGACTTTTATATTGTATTATGGTTTGTAATGTGTAATTAATGATCTATGTAATTGATTGAAATAAATGGTAATAATAATTAATATCATCTAATATAGCTGCTCCTCCTAGATTAAATTTAATAGGGGAAATTATATTAATTAATAGATTAATAAGATGATCTTGAATTTCTATATTCACTATTTATGTTATGAGTCCCATGTAATAAGGGTTGTTCGTTCGTTATAAGAATTTACCAAAATTTCTACACTTGGCAAACGTGTTGAAGATTACAGAATAATTCTCCAGTTACACAGTTTTATTCGTTCGATTGTGCGAGAACAATGTAACACCATATTGTACGTAGTACTTATCATATTATCCGGCTCTACCTATCTAAATAATTTTACTAATTTAATAATTTAAACACAAATACATACTTTTCCACATAAAGAAGGACATCGAAGCGCCACATTTTAATAAAACAAAACACTACACTACAATATGTCAAAAACAAAACACGTTCCGTTCACGACCAAATCTCGAAAACTGCTAAGATAATTATGATACAACTGTTCACTTTGTATAGTTCATTGTTTCTTTATTTTCAATATATTACACAACCACTGTTATTCCACCGATGTTCGGATGCAAACTGAATAATGATTTATTTTATAATGATAAGCCAACACTTAGTTTATCAATAGATTAACCTCAAATGCTAATTTGTTATTGATAATACCAATTTCTGTTTGTTACTTGACATATTGAGTGATTATAACTACGAGTCGTTGTTTAAATTAATCATTTACTCAATTAGTCTAATGATCAAATACTCAAACGCCACTCGATTAAATAACACAGTCTCAAATATACATATTTCTGTCACTTACAAATACTTGACAAATGACAGAGATAGCGCCATATGTATACCCTAATTGGATTCCTGACTATAATCTATCCCGGTTCAAATTGTATCCTGATGTCTTCAGCCGTTTTGACATGATTAAGAAACAAAGATTTTTTTTAAAATACACACATAATCACAATTTCGCATTTATAGGTAGTGAATGAATTGGCCAGAAGTGGGTGATTCAGTCATCAGGTTGTAGGTATAATAAACGAACCTACAATTTTGTCTATAAAAGCAAAGTGCATGCAGGTGTGTTTGTCAAAAATTTATCAAAAACAGCTGAACAGATTGTAATGGAATTTTACCATTAATGAACAAACAGTAGCTTGAATTGAAATCGGTGATTAATGTGGCGTGGTGATAATAATTTTTGGATAATTCGTTTAATCTTTACAGCTGCACGATTAGTTATCTAGAGACGTAATAATGAAAGAATTTAATTTTTTATTTCATTCTCAGTTATCTCGCTCGCGCTTCTCAGATATGTAAGGATCAATCAAGCTTGAGATTAAGTATTGTTTGTGAAGTATTTCCATGTGTGTCGATTGGTGGGCTAAAGAGCAAAATCCGTTTTGATAAGTCGTCAGATCAGTGACGGATAAAACTTAAAGAGATTCGTAGGGAAGCACCTCATAAGAATCCCTACTTTTTTTGACGCCGCTGTCAGTGCACGCGCGTCCCACGGCACCCCTCTACAACCTAGCACCCTAGGCACTTCCTTAATTTACCCTTTTTAAATGGGAAAATCATCGAATGCTTCTCCCGCCTGGATGTGGCGGGAAGTGTCAAACTTTTACTGCCTAAAAACCACCCCGTTCCTACTCCTGCACTTCGAGCCGGAACCCCGGCAACCCGTTAAGTCCTCCGAGGCTCCGTATCAGCCCCACATTGAGCCTAAAGGCTATCTGTGGTGGTCTAAATGCTATTTGAGGCGCGCGCTCGGATCTAGTTCTGGTCGGGCGGCAAGCTACCCATGCTCGCCATTCGCACAAGTCCACCGTCGCTCTAGGAATAATAAAACCGTACATTATGAAACAAGCTGTAAATTATAGAAACAAAACATTACATTACTAAGTGAAATGCAGGATAGAGATAACAAATAAATGTTATGGAAGAAAAATATTGAAATACAAACAACTTCTAGGAAATGAGAGTTTATATCAATTTTATTGTACCTATTGATAAGACAATGTTCAACATATTATTATATTTATTGTACTATCATGTCCCCAGTATGTGAAGGGAACTGCTTGTACAGTCAGTGATAAATTGTACTGTTCATGTTTCGAGGGCGTGTCACAGCGAGTGTAATGTAAGTTGCCTATCATTGGTTGTGCTCAAAGAGAGATCGACTTGTAGAAGTTGCTATTCACAAAACATTATATTTACTCTAGTGGTGTATTTCAGGAACACATTATACCTCTAAGTCCAAAATTCCTAGTAACTACTCATTTATCCATATTAGATGTTTTGTTCGTCGTCGTAAATCGTTGTGGTGAGCCGTGGAGGCTGGAATTGTGCCCGGTATATGGCAATATGCTCACCCCCTATTACATGGGACTCATAACATAAATAGTGAAAAGTGGGTGTTACATTGTACAGTGCTATAATGTGCACCCCTGACTACCCCTTTGGGGAGAAAAGGCGAGACGTTATGAGAATTTATTTTATGACTCATTAAACTGTCAAACACCAAGCAGTCACCGGTGACCGCAACCTATTGTTCTATAATTGTGTATACAAAACCGGTACTCGACGAGTTAAATATTTTTTCTGTTTTGATTGTCGACTGTACACGGTAACTATACATACATTCATAGATACGTATAAGCAATCGTACACGCCACTCCGATTACAAGTTATCAATGACATCGTTCGATATAAAATCGGTTAATAAAGATTATAACGTTATTCATTCGCCAAAAATTATTCATCAATCATTGATACTTAATACTTCAATACTCAATGGTTTCTGTTTCATTCAATTTATAGAATAATTCAATACTTAATTGGTTTTAAATGTGGAACTTTTGGTTTAAACGCCAGTAATGTTGATGTTTTAAAAATGAAGACTTTGTAATAGTCGTAAATTGTTTAATAGAAGTAGTTATCAATCCTATTATATAAGGTTTTTTGCAAACTGTTTATAGTTGTCGTGACTGCCTCGTTGGCCGAGTGGTCGCAAGTGCGACTGCCGAGCAAGGGGTCTCGGGTTCGACTCCCGAGTCGGGCAAAGTATTACTGGTTTTTTTTTAAATCTCAGTATTAGGATGGAGTCTGGAAATGTGCCTGGTATATGGCAATAGGCTCACCCTCTATTACATGGGACTCATAACATAAATAGTGAAAAGTGGATGTTACCTCTATGTGCACCTCTGACTACCCCTTCTGGGATAAAAGGCATGATGTTATGTTATTCTATTTACAATAATAATGTTCTCGTGAATTCACTTAGAAAGTTAGAACACAGTGTAGTAACTTGCTACGCCAAATTATCTACGCGTGCTACGAAATTACTACGAAATTACTACGAAATTACTACGAAACATGCTACAGATTCGAAAGGCTGTTATATCAAAAAATAAACGTTTAGAAATAAAGGAAATTACGTCGGGATCTATGAAGTCATGAGTAACAGTAGCATGGAATCTTTCATTGGTTGTCTTTTTTTATGAAATAAGCCGGTAAACGGGCAAACGTATCACCTGATGGTACAGTGGCATTGAGTGCTGTTATGTGCACATCTGCCTACCCCTTTAGGTATAAAAAGGCGTGATGTTATGTTATGTAATTACGAAAACAAATCCTACATCGAAATTGATCCAGCCGTTCTTGAGTCTTGCGCTTAGCAACACATTTAACGACTCATTTGTATTAACATATTTACGTTACTATTGATAACGTCGATATTTCCAAGGATCCAGCTTTATCATATCAAATTATAATACATAACATAACATCACGCCTTTTTTGCCCGAAGGGGTAGGCAGAGGTGTACATTATGCTACTGTACAATGCAACACCCACCCTTCACTATTTATGTTATGAGTCCCATGTAATAGGGGGTCAGCCTATTGCCATATATCGGGCACAATTCCAGACTTCGTGCTACTACTGAGAATTTATAGAAACCCAGTAGTACTTTGCCCAATCTGGGAATCGAACTCGAGACCCCTTGACCGGCAGTCCCATTTGCGACCACTGGGCCAAAAATAATATTACCTATAATATCACAATACCATGCAATATCGTCAAAGGTGTAAAAGTTAAAGTACATAGCAAACCCAGCGAACTCCGTTTCGCCACCAGATGGCTTCGTTTTATGTAACATTTCGTTTGATGATTAAACTGTCAGACACCGTGAGGACACCTACTGTTGTTTAATTATGCCTATAATGACGGTACTCAACGAGTTAATAGATAAAGAAAACTTTTTTTTTTGTTTTCCTCCTCACGGAGCCTGAGACCTTTCCAACGAATGCAAAACTATACAAATCGGTTCGTGCGTTCTGGAGTTATTGCATCAGGAAGGAAAACCCGAATTATTTTTATATATGTATAACTGGCTTCTGCCCGCGACTTCGTACGCGCAATCCCGTTTTGTTCCGTTCCCGTAGGATTTTCAAGATGTTTACTGTTATAAGAACCTTCTCCTGACAATAACAAACACAACAAAAATAAGATCAGCCAAATCGGTCTAGCCGTTCTCAAATTATGGCGTGACAACGGGAAACGGGTTTCATTGTTATATTATGTTTAATAGATTTTAACAAATTGGTAGTCACACGTTGTGTCATTTACATCACAACGTTAGACTGCCTTGCTAGACACAAGTGTGACTACTGAGCAAAGTATCCCTTCGATTCCCAACTTGTACAATGAGTAGTCTTTTGGTTTTGAAAGCATTTTCCACTCCCACTTGCATAGGCAGTATACATATTATACACCGTGAAATCTATTTCGTTTTCATCCCGCTACTAAACAACTTGTCACAAGGAGTATGTTCTATGTAGAGGTATAAAGTAAAAAGAAAAAAATAAAGATGTCACACCTTCTAGTAAAAAAAAACAATTCATAGAAATACGCACATGATGTTTCACGTAAATTTGTAGGCACTGTTCGCATTGCACGTGCAACCCGACGAGAAATACCTCTTCGAGAACTACATGATGGCGTGATGTTTTGATAATGTACTATGAGCTTGTATGCGTTTTCAAAGTTAATTTTTGCAATGGCTCACTAGTTATTTTTTGTTTAACATTTTATTTCTTTGTCGTACTATTATATTACCAAGACAGAAACATTTTGCATCGGCATGAAAACGAAATAGATTTCACTTGTACCCAATTTTAAAATATAACACTTATACCAATAAAGTCCAGTCCATTTTATTACGTGACGAGGTCGAGCCTATTTATAATCCTTCTTCCTATCTTTTACTCCCTAGCGAGCAATCCCTACTCCTGTCGACCCTGACACAGTAAACCTAGGAGTTATTACATAAGGACCTGCCGACCGCAACCGCGATCGATATGAGTATATCATATAACTGTGATGTCTTCTTGCCGTGTATATAGAAAGTCAGCACCGCTGGTATTCTTGTGGGTGTCGTGAGAGTAAGGGATTACATATTTATAAAACACCGGGCTCTGCATAAGCCTGGATGGTTTCAAGTTGTGATCTCCAATTCTCCTATCAAGCGTGGAGATATTGTTATGAAGAGGAGGC